ATGTTTGTTATGTGCGAAAAAAGTAAATGTAGGGTTTGATCGGTGCTCGATAGTTCCCGCGATTAATGTGTTGAGATGCTTCAAATGTGGAGAATTTGGGCACAAGAGCATGGATTGCAAAAATTGCGATAGATGCTCTAGGTGCAGCCAACAAATTGAAATGTATTAATTGTTTGAAAACGAATAAAGAACGAAAAATGAACTTGGACGTCAACCATGCCGCATTTAGCTCGGAATGTTTGCTTTATAAAAGACTTTTTGATCAGAAGAAAAGCAGCTTGCGTTTCAATAAATAGCAGCCAAGTTCCAGGAATGTGAATCAATTCGATTTTTTATACTTGAATATTGCGGGGTTGTCAACAAACTACGTAGCATTACGTAAGATTGTTGAGGAAAAACGTCCTCTTTTAGTTTTCTTATCTGAAACTCATATTGTAGAAACTGAAGCTTTTGATCAGTATAGTATTCCGGGATATATTGTTGCTGCTTGTTTATCACATTCTAGACACACTGGCGGTGTTGCTATTTATGTCAAAGAATCAGTTCAATTCAACCTTCGTACCAACGAAGTTATTGATGGCAACTGGTTCTTGGGCATTACAGTTGTACGTGGCATGAAGATGGGTAATTATGGTGTTTTGTATCATTCTCCCAGTTCTAGTGACCAGCGTTTTGTTGAAGTTTTAGAGAACTGGTTTGAGACATTCCTTGATTCTAGTAAATTAAATATATTGGCTGGTGATTTTAATATTAATTGGCGTGATAACCATAATTCGAATCATTTGAAGCGTTTAGCTGAGTTTTTTTAATTTAAAGCAAACGGTAAATGAGTATACGCGTATTTCCAGGCACAGTAGAACTTTAATTGACCACGTTTATTCTAATTTTGATTCCATTTGTTCAGTTACGGATACTGATTTGAAAATAACCGCTCATGAGACTTTAGTGATTAATGTCTTAGACCATGTTAACGATAACGATAATTTTGTAAAATTGAAATGCTGGAGGAAATATTCGAAGCAAGCTGTTTCGAATCTTGTTGAGAGAAGCCTGGATTTTCCATTCGCGGCCGGTAACTTAGATGAATCTACAGCTGTTCTTAATAACGCTTTGAAAACGTGTACCAATCAACTAGTTGAGCAAAAGTTTGTTTCTTTGAAAAACTCGAACAGCTGGTACAATTTGGATCTTTTGCGTCTTAAACAGAAAAGGGGCAAATGGTACAAAAAGTTTTGTAGATCTAATAATGACAATCATTGGACTAGGTACACAATCGCGCGTAATAAGTATTCACAATCGATAAAGAAAACTCGTTGTGAATATGTTCAAAGGAAGATTGATCAGCATCAAAACAACAGCAAAGAGTTATGGAAAATTTTGAAATCTTTATTAAAACCTAGTAATTGCAAACCGCGGTCCATAACTTTTAATGGCACGTTCGAGCAGTCGGAACAAGTAATTGCAGCTAAGTTTAATTGTTATTTTGTAGACAGTGTTTCATTGATTAATCAATCCATTGAACTGACGAAAAAAAAAACAGCCAGTTAATAGTAGTTGTAGATTTGAAGTTTTTCACCCAATTACATTAGATGAACTTAGAGTCATTTGTTTTTCATTAGGAAAATCGGCTGGAGTAGATAATGTTAATGCTAGAGTTATTCAAGATTGCTTTCATGTCATTGGCCACATCTTGCTGGACCTTATTAATGAATCATTACAAACTGGACATGTGCCACAAATTTGGAAGGAATCCTTAGTGGTCCCTATTCAAAAAGTTGCTGGAACGATTAAAGCCGAAGAGTTTCGTCCCATCAACATGTTGCACACATTAGAGAAAATTTTAGAACTTGTTGTTAAAGGTCAGCTGTTGGAGTATTTAAATAGTAATAGTTTGTTGATACCAGAACAATCGGGATATCGGGAAGGTCATTCTTGTGAAACCGCGTTGAATTTGGTATTAGCGAAGTGGAAAAATAACTTGGAGTGTAAAGATACGATTGTTGCTGTTTTTTTGGATCTTAAACGCGCTTTTGAAACAATTTCTAGGCCCTTATTGTTAAGATCAATCAAGCGCTTTGGAATTACGAGTACTGCATATAAATGGTTTGAAAGCTATTTGTCTGACAGAACTCAACGGACTGTTTTTAATGATTCTGTTTCCAGTCCCGTGGGGAATAACCTTGGAGTGCCCCAGGGAAGTGTATTAGGGCCCCTGTTATTTATTATGTATATTAATGACTTGCGACGTGTTTTACGATTTTTCGACATTAATCTTTTTGCAGATGATACTGTGTTATTCATTGCAGCTAAGGATTTAGATGATGTCGTTTTACACTTGAATGAAGATTTGCGTTCTCTAAGTAGATGGTTGAAGAATAAGCAGTTAAAATTGAATACAAGTAAAACTAAATTTATGGTAATTTCGCGGAATCGAGTAAATGAGAACGTCTCTGTTGTAATTGATGATGAGACTATTGATCGCGTTCGGGAGATTAAATATCTTGGCGTGATTATTGATGACACACTTAAGTTCAACTCTCACATTGACAATGTCATCAAGAAAATTGCCAAGAAGTATGGAATTCTATGTCGACTGAAAAACGATTTAACTATTTTTGCTGTTTTATTATTGCCAGTAAAATACAGCTATACAAATCAATCATCTCTCCTCATCTTGACTTTTGCCTTTCCATTTTATTTCTGGCCAATGCAACACAAATATCGAGATTACAGCGCTTGCAGAATAAAATAATGCGTTTGATTTTGAGATGTAATAGATTCACTTCCTCAACTTTGATGTTAGACGCCTTACAATGGTTGTCGGTGAAGCAAAGAATTGTATATTTGACTATGGTGTTCATTTTTAAAGTAGTTAACGGTTTGCTGCCTCGATATTTGTGTGATCGAATTGAAAGAGGAAGTGACTTTCATAGATATAATACTAGAAACGCGGTTGAAATAAGAACACCACATTTCTTGACTTGTGCTTCACAAAATTCATTATATTATAAAGGAATAAATGTTTTCAATTCGATGCCTAGACATATCAAACGTTTAGCAACACTTACAGAATTTAAAAGACACTGCATTTCACACGTTAAAACTGTCTTTTGAACAGTTATCCAGTGATTTTTTTATGAATTGACAAATTATGTATCTTGACGAAGTTATCTCTAACGGATTATTTTATATCGATAGCTGTCATAACGACTTTTTAATAATTATTGTAGCACTGCACAAACTATTTCTTTTCGGCACGAGGGTGATGATGGATTTTCAATATTTGATTTTATAGTAGATTAATAAAAAAAAAAAAGTAGTCTACAAAGGTTTGAGCCTCGCGCGCGTATTACGGATATAGAGGACTGAATTTAACATTTGATAAAAAAAAATGCAATTTTGAAGCTTATTTGAAAGATACCTTGAGTTAGTATTAAGTTTTCTGGCAAATGTTAGGGGTTCGTGAGCATTCCTGACATTGCTGAAAATTATGACAGCATCAGATTGCGGGGTTGCTAGTGTAATAGGATGCTTTGTTGATTGTTCATTAACTCTTGATTGCTTGTAATACTTATGAATATTTTAGGTGGACAAAAAGGCGAACTAAGAGGTATGCTTTTCCACATTTATATCGCTGTGAAGCAACTGTAAACTTTAGAGGGAATCTATATCTGTAACTGAAACCAGTTCGATTTTGTTTGCCAACCTGGTTAAAATGTCATATTCAATTATCTTAAAGATAAATCGTCCAGCTCAAACCTTTGTAGGGGTAAGAGGTGGGACCATCATCATCATCATCAACATATGCTTGACTTGCGCATCTTATTTATGACTATAACGCAACCTACTGTTTTGGACATGTTGTAAATTAATTTCATCCTTCCTACGAATGGAATTTGTTTATCATCAATTTACACAACTTATTCTTCGGAGGAATTTTAACGTGGGAATAAACTGCCTAAACTGAGATTCCGTACTGCAAACATTTATGCGGTTGCAAATTTATGGTAAATCTATACATTCTACTTCTAAAAAACTCATTGGCTCTTAGAAAAAGCCTAATATAATAAATTGAATTGCATAAAATATACTGGATAAAATTCCCCAACTTTGCAAAAAAAAAAAACAGAAACAAATAGAATATCAACTTTTTTTTTAAATTATCTTGCTTTTCTCTTTCACAAAATGTACATGTGATGTTGAAAGTACAAATTAAATGTTTTTTTCATTCTATACATTGCTTTATTGGTCAGCCATATTGTAGTGCAGTTTGTAGTATGCATTGAGAAATTTCATAATTGTTATCAAAACACGAACAACAAGAACATAACTTGAATCGTATATTGAAGTTATAATTAGGTATGGCAACTCTCAATTGCCTATTTATAACACTTTTATAACTGATAGTTTTTGATGAAAACTTGCTAGCCTTATATACAACATGTTTTCACATGTCATTTTTGGAAACATGAGTACATCTGAAATATAAGTTATTAATAACATGTTATAAATAAGTTATATCTCAGATGGATTCATGTGTCTAATAATGACATATGAAAACATGTTGTAAATAAGTCTTGCCAGTTTTCACCAAATACAATCAGTTATAAATGTGTTATAAACTGGTATTTGACACATGCAATATCGAATTATAACTTCAAGATAACAAGTTCTGGTCAGAAAGGTTGAATACTACACAAACAACAATACAACGAGTCTAAAACAGGAGGTTTTAAAACAATTAATATATAACTTATTTACAACTGGTTTTTTTTTTATTTTTCATGCAAGATGCTGCAAGTGTTACTTGGGTCTTAACAACCCATTATTTGTAAGGTTCACTTCCAGCAAACCATAATACATACGGTTAAAACTTTATCACACAAAAGTTCATGTAAAGTTCCATAACCATTTCAGTAAAAAATTAGCAGGAATTATAAACAATTTTTAACCATGGTTCGCGTTTATGCTAGCAGTACTCTGTATATGTATATATATGCCTTACCTTATTTAAAAAAAAAACTGCCGGTAATTTACAATAAATACATCCTACGTCAAAGAGAGATTCGGACTCGCTTATCAATCTACGGGTGGTGTGGTGGCAACATCTCCACTTGTGCACTGTCCTCAGTTGATCCGGTTCCCATAGTCTACCGTAGGAAATAGCCTTTGTGTCTGTGGTGACAGAGCAAAACGAAAATCGCAATCAGATCAGATACCATCGCTTCGTGCGAAACTCTATTCAATACAAACCAATCGAGAAACTTGCGCCCTCAGCGACGAAACCGCATCCATAGCGTACTGGACCTTCTTGTTCAGCTCGTGGGTCTCCGATATCGATCGGCGATCCTCGTTGAAGATTATCTGCGGACGGAAAATGAAGACAGGAGAAAACCAGACCGTGGTTAGTGATAAAATTACACCGTTTGCGCTAATTTGCATGGTTGTAAAGCTGGATATCTCCGCATGATTAGGGCTTCATGGTTTCCAGATGCATACTAACCTTCTCCAGTTTGTTTAATCGCGTATCAAGGCTATCGTAATCGACGTCGTTTTCCATATCTCTGGCTTCGAATGCTACATCGTTCGTCGTCTCTGTGAGCGAGTGAGGGAGAGGCGATGAAATTGATTATTGATCGTTAAATTTTGTCGGGATTCCGGCGTTTAGATCGTACCAATTTTCTTGCAGCTGTGACGATCCGCCTGGAGTAGAAAACCATCTCGGCAGGTGCAGTAGTAGGACCCTTCCGTGTTGTAGCACGTTTGGTCACATGGTTTGTGTTGTTTGCACTCGTTGATGTCCAGCTCGCACTGCGGCCCGGTGAATCCGGTCGAACAGGTACAGGTGTCCGGGGCTGTGCAGCGGCCCCCGTTTCGGCATTGGACGCGGCAAATGGCTAAATTGTAAGGAGAGAAGAAGGATAGAAAGGGGATATTAGGGTAACTGATGATGGTTGGACCTATTTAGGCCGGTTTCACACGACGTCAACATTCATGTCGTATTTTTTTTATGAATTCAACATGTAATTATGAAAAATGCGTGATTAGGGGAAGGATCTACCTGTCTTGTTTCTAATATTAATATAAAAAGTTAACTATTATGAACAAATGATTTTATAAAACGTTTTTATTCAGCAAAGAATTATGATGTTGGTTGGACCTATACTGATCTTGGTTGGACCTAAAAAATGATGATGGTTGGACCTATTTTTGCACATGCTTTAGCCCATATTTGTTCAAAAAATTTGTTTGGAGCTTATTGGTATCATGAAAAAACCCTTTTTATACAGTTTTTTTTTATGAATTTGCTATTTAAAAAATAAACCAAAAAATTTGAGTTTAACTTCGTTTTTAAAAAAAGTTCACTTTCCACGCATTAGCTATTCATCATGGCTCATTTTCTCGGAAATCATTGACCCGATTTGGAAATTTTTTAACGTCAAACTATAGGTATTGTGGTCCCATTGAAAGCTATTAAATATTTTTGGAATCGGTGAACTGGTTTCGGATATATGGCCGGAAAAAGTTCCAGGGTATATGGAACATAGACCTAATTTTGACATGGAAGGAATAAAACTTATCATGCGACACTTCACATTACTTCCAAATTCGATAACAAGATCAATAACAAAATTTAGAGCCTTGGACCACATTGGCCACTTCCAGACATGTTCTGGGTGCCCCCGGGGAATTTAGGGGTTTAAAATGACAGAATATCAGAACTTGATTCCGGTTTTATAGTTTTTTTTTCTCCTAGGAGTTTTTTTTTTGAAAATAAGTTTCAGTTAGCAATTTTTAGTTTTTTTTAACTAGTTCGTTTATTTACTAGGCTCAGTCGTGTGTGACACTTTGCGGAGTCAAAATCAGTAATGTTTGATTTAAATTTTAAATAGCAGTATTTCTAGGTTAGTATTGGGTACCAATTACTCGTGGCGGGCTCGAGGTTAATGGGTAACAATTTCAATTGGAAGGATCTAGGTAGGAAACTGGTTTCTGAAGCTTCCTTAAGATACTACTCTCGGACGGTTGACCAAATCCTGGCTGGGCAGGGGCAAGTAGCACAGGAACTGGAGGATAATAAGACTGGGACACAATGGTTGGAAATTGTTTGGAAAGGAGGGGATGGTCACATCAAACTCTAACATCAGACAAACAAAGGAATTCGTAGATCGCTTGCATGTAGGGAAGATGACGTGTTCCCAATACATCTCTTACTTCATGGAAGGGTTGTCTACCTCGGGCCACTAGGGTATCCAATAGCCGTGCTCTGGAGGCGTTATTACCCGGGCAATACCAAACTGCGTGATCGATGTCATCATAACCGGTTCTGCACCTACACATATTGCTGTCAACGAGGTTTATTCTATAGAGATGTGCGTCTAGCGAGTAGTTGTTGGACATAAGTCTTGACATCACTCGAATGAATCCCCGACTTACATCCAGACCTTTGAACCACGCTCTCGAAGAAACATTTGGAATAATGGAATGTAACCACCGCCCAAGAGAATTATTTGTCCAATCGTTTTGCCAACTTAAAAGAGAACTCTGACGTACTAATGGGAAAAATTCATCATGTGAAATTCTTCTATCATAAATCTCGCCTTGTTGTGCAGCCACCTTTGCGAGAGAGTCTGCCTTCTCATTGCCTGGGATTGAGCAATGTGAGGGGACCCATACAAAGGTAATCATATGTGATCTTTCGACCAGCAAACTCATCTGCTCCCTTACCTTTGAAAGGAAATAAGATGAGTGCCTACCTTGTTTCATCGACCGAATAGCCTCAATCGAACTGAGACTATCCGAGAAGATGAAGTAATGGTCTATGGGCATATCGGAAATCATCCCCAATGCGAAGTTGATTGCTGCTAGCTCAGTAACATAAACGGAACAAGGTTCCTGAAGTTTCCGAAAGGCGGTTGAGTATTCATTGAAGACGCCGAAGCAAGTGGATCCATCAATACGCGATCCATCAGTGAAAAATCTTCTATTGCAATTGACTTGTTGGTACTTTTCAGCAAAAATGTGGGGAATTGAGATAGGTCGAAGTTGATCTGGAACTCCTTGAATAGCCTGTTTCATGGAGAGATCATAGTCCATGGGGGAACTGTAGTTAGTAAAGCATACACGAGAGGGGTTATAGCAAGGAAGGCTTATATCCGATGACATATAATTAAGATAGATTCGCACGAATCTAGACTGGATGCTCAATTCGAGCATTTCTTCGAAGTTTTCAATCACAAGGTTGTTACTGACACTACATTTAATCAATATTCTTAATGAGAGCTCCCAGAAACGGTTCTGCAGGGGTTTTACGCCCGCTAGGACCTCTAGGCTCATATTGTGTGTTGAATGCATACAGCCAAGGGCAATACGTAAACAACGATATTGAATACGTTCCAATTTGATTGGGTGGCTTTTTCTTGCCGAGAGGAAGAGGTCTTCCGGGTGAGCACCCCACCATTTCTCGGAAATTGATCGTAGAAAGTTGATCCTTTGTTGACACTTTTGTTTCAAATACGCAATGTGGGTACCCCAAGTGCATTTTGAATCAAACCAGACTCCAAGGTATTTGAAGATTAAAGATTGGGTAATGTCTCTGCCCAAAATATTTAGACGCAGTTGGGCTGGAAACCGCTTCCTTGTAAACACTACCAATTCAGTTTTGTGCGGTGAAAACTCGATCCCTAAATTTCTTGCCCAGAGAGACAGATTATTTAGGGAATTTTGCAATGGTCTTTGCAAGATTTCTGCACGTGGACCTCTCATGGAAACCACGGCATCATCTGCAAGCTGTCTAAGCGTGCATTGATTATCTAAGCAGTTATCAATATCTTTGACATAGAAATTATAAAGTAAGGGACTTAAACATAAACCTTGGGGTAAGCCCATGTAGCTAATTCTAGAAGTTGTCAGTTGACCTAGATTCAAGGTCATTTGTTTTTCTGACAGCAAATTATACAAAAAAATATTCAAAATACCGTGTAATCCACTACTGTGCAAATTGTCTGACAGTATGTCTATGGAAACCGAATCAAATGCGCCCTTAATATCCAAAAAGACTGAAGCCAATTGCTCCTAATTTTTAGTTTGTTAACATTTTATTTCAAGTTCATTCACACACAGAAGGTGCATGAGAAGTGCTTAATGTAAATTCATATTAACAGATTCTTTCGGCGCTTTCGTGGTAGTTCGGAAATCGATGGTTACCCTTTCAGCCAACCTGACGATGGAATTCCTCCTTTAAATTTAAGCCCAACTAGTGACGCAAGGTCTTTAGCAGCTTCCAAGATCTTTTGGGACTGCCAGAAGCAGCACACATACAAACCCAATCCCCTAGCTGGTTCTCCAAATCAACACTCAACACTATTTCCCTTCCATATTTCTTGCAGTGGCTTCACTTAATTTTTTGCGTGAAGTGTCGTTTTCGGAATATTGTACATTTTCTGTGCCTGATACGAGGTAAGTGTTTTATTTCTTACTAAAAGAACAGCCTCTTGAAGATTTTCGACCGTTTAACTCTTTTCTTTAGCCATTTTTTTCAATCGAAGAAACTGATCACTCGGCCAAAACGAAGTCGAATTTCAAATCAGCTGCGCATGAAGGATGCAGACAAACCGAAGCGCACCTAGCGGCCGTCTTAGGAAACACATAGGTCCAACCATCATCATGCGTAGGTTCAACCATGATCATATTTACCTATTCGAATTTCGTCAATTATTCAAACATTTTAGTGAAACCAATGGATAAATGTTTACACCTTAAGGGGGTATTCCCGATCTTTTTTTTTCAAAAATCAAATTTTTTTTTCACGTTTTTTTTTGTACTTTAGACTATATACTTTCATCCCCCCAAGCCGTTTTCCGATCAGCGAATTCGGTGTCCAGGCATAGCTGACTAATGGTAAGAACCCCCAAATGGTTTTAACTAAAGTCAAAACTTTAAACGCGTTTTTCTCGAAACCACATTTTTTTTATCGGGCGAAGATTTTTCTCAGAAACTATAAGAGATATTGACTTGAATCTTTGCGCATTTTGTTCCTTATTAAATTTTTTGGAGCTTCTCCCACTTTCAGCCAAAAATATTAACATTTAACATTGTTTGAAGCACCTTAAAGCTGCAAAAAATCGCCTGTTTTTTCATATGGCCGCCATTTTGTTAATTTGCAAGATTTTTTGCTGCCAACGGGAGAAGCTCCAGAGAATCTTATGCAGATTATTAATTTCATCACGAAACTGTTTCAGATGAAGCCGTTCCAGAGAAAAGTCTTCGCCCGTCCAGGCGTTTGCGGCGAACAGGGGTCTGTTTGCCGCCATTTTGTGACGTCAATAATGTCTTTTTTTATGTCGAAAAAAATTTATTTGTAAACTTTAATGTTCAATAAACAAGAATCCCAAAGAGTTAGGCGCATTACTATTCATTTTCCTTGAAAAAAAATTAATTGAAAAACAGGCTGAAAAAAGGCAAAAGATTGGGAATACCCCCTTAAAGCAGTGTTTTACTGCATGAAAATAAAAATAAATATAAAAAATATTCCTTTTTTGTATGTTTGAAAGTAAGGCATGATGACGAGCTAATGCGTGGAAAGTGAACTGTTTTGAAAACACATTGAAACTCAATTGTTTTGAAGTTTTTTCAATAAAACATCCATGCAAATTGAAGAAAGAGATTTTTATGACAGTAAAGTGATCTTTGAAAATAAAAAATTAGCGAAGATTGACTAAACTAGCGATTGAAAAAATAGGTCCAACCATCATCAGTTTTTGGATAGGTCCAACCAGAATCAATTACCCTACACGAAACCGTGAATGCCAAGGCGAATTATTGACAATAATATTGGTGGTTTAAAGTGATGAGCAAACCACAGACAAACAGACGTAACTCTTTGAAAAACTTGTTCTTGAAAACATAGTATCTCAAAACATATAACCTCAGTAACGACATCTCTCTGGCTTCTCGCGGAAAACAAGCTTGCTCGCTAACTCGTAAACAATATTGCATAAAAGTTCTATAAAATATATAGAAACGTCAAAGTGATCCGATGCTAGCGCTGCGGCGAGTAGTTCGCGGAACTGATAATATTCAAATCAACCGTTAAATGCATGAACGAAGATACACAATGAAGAGTTACGTCTGTTTGTCTGTGAGCAAACGTTACCCGAGTAGAATAAAATATCTAACCAATAGCACATTTTGAAATAAAAAATAGAAAATCTACAGATCTCTTTTTGCTATTGGTTTGATGAGGTAAAATATCAAAAATAATATCAGAAAATCTATGGGCAAATAACTGAGTAATAGCAAAGTAAGCTATTGGAATATCTCATGAATAACAGAGTTTTCGAGCTTCACAATAACCGACCAATATCATATTGAGCTATTACAGAAACATAAAAAACCTAAAAAAAACCCTACAGTACAAGGATTTGCGGAGTCCTGAATCTCAAAATCTCGCATACAACTCATGAAAAAAGTTCCAAGTCCCAGAAAGTTGATTTTTAACAACAACAAAAAAAGGTTTTTGATATAACACCAGATCTCGACGTTTCATGCATTTTAACAGCCATCGCATTTTCATGTACCCTCGGGGGATTTACGAGAGTGAAAAAGGTAAAACTGACCGCTTTGCGCCACGCCTAAATCAAGTCAGATTTAGCTCAAATTTTGCCTGGGGTCGTTTTTGGAGGCAATAAACATTTTGTAGGGGGGTATCTTTATGAAATATGACATTGTGATGACCATTTTCATTGGAAATTTCTAATTCTTCCGCCTTTTCTGGCAAAGTGAACGATTGGCAACATTAGTTATAAAACATCTTTGAATATTAGGTGTAATGATGTCTAACCAAGATTTAACCCTTCCATTACTTACGCTTATGGCACCCTTCGGTAATGGTGCTGGTAGTTTCCCAACCGGGACAGCATGCGTACATCTCCCGCTTGACCTGGTGGTAGGTCGGCTCGTAGTTGGTACTGCACAACCGCGTTGCGACATGAAGTGGACCATGAAAGAAATAAGGCAATAGAGTCTGCAATTAGCGTCGCCGATATCTCTCTAAATACCATTAGCAACGCCACCGCAAGTTGCTGTTAATCTTGATTGATTCCATCAACCGTTGACATGTGAAATATATATATCTAGCGTTCAGAATCATAAGGGCGTATTTACTGCTATGATCGATGTTTTCTTTTGTTTGCTGTTGCTTTTACTATAGCAATTGGTGCAACACAGTTTTGGAATAATTTTGAAAAGTAGTTCAAATTGAATCGATCATCACAGTTAGGCCCTTATGGTTCTGATTGCTAAACATAACTATCGCAAGCAAGGGTAGGGAAGGGAGATAATGCTGGAATTCGTGATTGATACCCTACCGTACGCCGGTGCACAGCTTCTGGTCCGGGCAGGGCTGGACAAAGTGTTTCACGGTCGCTTTTCTGTAGATTGGCACATGGACGGTTCGCTTCTCGGTGCACACGTTTTTGCTGCAATTTGAAAAATGAAGGAAGCAGATTAGTGATCTCGACCACACCGGGACTTACAATTATCATTCATGTGGAAAAATGGAAAAGACAAATGCCTCTGCGTTGCATTTCCGGGTAGCAGTTAATCATATTTGAAGGTCAAGATTTGCATCGGTTCAAGATGCATGTAAGTAGACTGGTTTGAAGTCTTCTAATATCACTTCAGAACTCATTAGATCTCTGGACCAGTCTACTTCGTACGTCTAGCTACTCGTCAATGACGGATCGTGTTTGACCAAATATGTCGCAAGTCATAATTCAACGCTGCGCTCGAATTTGAAACTACTACCGAGCCGTGAGATGCCTAATAAAACCAAATGCCTGCTCAGAAGCCAATAAATTACACCTCACGATCACGGTAAGGACTCATAAAGCTGCAATGTTCTGTGCACACAAACCTAGTGGCTTATTGTCTCAGTTTAGTTTAATGCAGCAAAGCGACAGAACTCACTATAGCTTCAGAAAGAATCGTGAATCGATCCTGAATGGAGAGAAGGCTAATTTGCATAAAGACCGCTCCGCAAACGTAAAGCGCCAATTGGGCTGGCATGATCGTAAACTAATAGCTTCAGGGTTGACGATTTCATTCCATTCAGTAGTCATACAATGCAATTGGCGTAACTATTAACTCTATATTTGCCAGACGTCTGCAGGGACGACGACGAATGCAACTCTGTTCCATACATGAGAGGTGCATGCCGGCAGTCCGATGTCATATTTGTCAGGAATTTACTACATATGTATTTAGATGCAAGTGGCAGAGCCAATGCTTAACAAGTCGGATTATTGTTTGAAGGCTGTTGAATTTCTTTATTTAAAATGAAGTCATTAATTGGAATTTGATTTCAGTCGGGTGATTATTGAGTACATTAAAAGTGATGAATATTATTCATTATTCATTAATCATTTCCTAGGGTATTGTTTGTCAATCGTGCTCTTTGTAGGATAGTTGAAATGCAATTTGTTCGAGTTGACAGTTGTGCTACGATTCGGCCATTGTTGGATAATCTATAGCAGGCAGTCAAATACTGTGTGTTATTCAAATTAAATAATATATTTACTGCCCATAAAAACAAATATATGGAGCGGCTCGAAAACTTTGGTGACGAAGCTGGTATTGCAATTTTCAGTGTACCACATGGCAACACTACTACCATAGAGGTAACTCTAAGACCAGAAGGTCCCGAAGAAACGTGCTCAACTTTTTGGCTCAGCTCTGGTACTCTCTTCGGTCCCAAGCTAATCGATGCACCCCTCGAAACATAGGAAAATCCACGAACCCCTCATTTTATCTGTCAAACTTTCATAGCGAATCAAAACAAACATAGTGTAGTACTAGAATTTTGACTAGAATGGGATACGTTAATCGATTTGCTTGCGACCAATAGGCTAGTCAAGTAGTTGGCGTGACTGAACCGAGATTTCCAGCCTCGGTCACGACTACACGAATCTCGGCTGATCTGCTTCCAATACTGCTGCTGTTAGTTACAAGAATGACTTCAACGAGCTTAGGTAGCTCCGTATTTTCCCCTCGTTTTCCCAGCACTCTTGCTGTGTCAGAATTTCCCCTCACTAAGCATGAGATTTTGATCGCATCTCTCTACACGCTAAATGAAAAGTATCCATTACATGAGTATCTTGTACTCATTTTTTGAAGTTATTCAAAATGTCAATATGTTAGAAAACCGGAAAGCGGGTACTTTTTTCCCATTTTTGAACATATCTACTGCAATTTTAATTGCAATGGGTAAAAATGTACAAGACACAGAGTGTTTTATGCATTGATTACGCTACGATACGACGGAGTTTGAAATTGTGTTCCAACCGAGCCGACCGATGTTGATTGACGTGAAAATGTTTATTTAACAACAATGCTGCGGCTGCGAGTTTTATTGTTTCCCTCACTTTCCATAACAAATCTGAAGAACAGCACAGCATTCCCGGACATGATCTGACACCAATTGTTACGAGGTAAGAATTGTATGTGCAATAACGATGAAAATTGTATGTGTTCTAAATATGTGTTCCGTTTCAGGTTAGCGATGATTTTCAAAGAGGAAGAAGTGCAGTTCACAGAAGGGTCCGAACCTGTCCGAACCATTTCAATGAGCAGCAAACCTCGTAGACCGATTCCCAGTGGATGCAATTGATTATTTTTGTGATATTGTGCTAATAGTTATGTCCAATAGAGAGTATGAATTGTTTTTTTTTTATAGGATTTCAGGTTTTCTCAAAAGAATACATTGGTTTGAAGACAGGTTTTCCCATGAAGCAAAAAGCGAATCAATAAAATGGGTACTTTCCATACATTTCGGAAATAGCAAGAAGGGTACAAAATACCCATTTTAGGCGTATTAGTTTATACTCATTAATGAGGAAAACCGGTTTTACTTATTTCATGAGTTAAGCCACTTTTCTTGAAAATGAGTAAAATTTTACTGATTAATGGGTACTTTGGAGATAGCGGGGCTACAAAATGGTGAGTTGACAACCTGGAAGGAGCGGAATACCTAGCCCTGGTTCTCACATGTTCCTACTTCACGCCTCCTCGAGTCATATGATAACAAAAGACTACCAGCTGAAACATGGACACAGCTGGGTGGCGTAGCCTGGGCAATGTTGCCAGTCCGGCAATAGCAAAGGGAAGAGGTGCGACGCGAACACTGGCGCGGTAACCATAGTACGGTGATAGAGGAAATGCTTCACCAAACCTGAGCGTCTGTTCACCATGCAGGTGCGGCTCAAAACGGCGTCTGTTCTCCATGTTGGGAGCGGCTGATCACCGTCCTAGTGCCAGTGTGGGACTCTAAACAGAGCTGTGCACGATGGTCCCCCGGCGAGACAGGGGGTTGGGGCAGGCCCAACAAGCCGCCCTGAAAAAAAAAACAAAGTTGCAAATACCGAAGAAAGAAATACGGATCGGAACAATCGGCACAGACCTACGCGACGAAATAAGGACTACGATTGGAAACTCGGAACATGGAACTGCAAATCGCTCGGCTTTCCGGGTTGCGATAGGTTAATCTATGACGAACCTGCGGACCCTTCGCAGACTACGAGGCTGGCGAACTGTGGCCATGGATCGAGTAGAGTGGAGACGACTTCTTCGGACAGCAGAGGACAACAAGGCCTTAGCCTAATTGGTAAGTAAGTTGGAGATAGCGTGTTTTATTACTTCTGTCACGCTCCACGCTCATTTAGTTTTACTCAAATTAAGTGTTTCATTACTTGACTCACCTCTCAAGTTTTTTTTTATTTATTTTATTATTATTATTCCATACAAACTCTATCTACCACAGTAGTGAGCCAATTTTAAATCGTTAGTTTCTACAGGATTGTACTAGCATTTTCACCAAATGTACTAGAATATTTTGGTTCTATCTCTTTCACTCTACTCAAAACTGAAATACATAAAAAATTACAAAATGATACACTCTTTGCACACTGTCAAAGATCATTGCACACAAAATCAACTTTGTTCAAATCAAAACAAAAATACTAACCCATCTGGTGGCTGATGGTACAAGCTTCTAAGAAAATTCAATTACAGCAAACCTCGCAGCAAACCACATTATTTTAATTGATTTCTTCGCCAGTTAGTCGTCTGTCACGTAGTCGTTTGTGCTAGTAGCGACTAGCAGTGATGCAGAGAAGGACAACGACTTCACAAATATGCACGACAATTGGACAGAAGGGTATCTTTATTTCACTCTATTTCTTCACCAAATCCAAATGCCCGGACTTTCTTCTTAATTCCACCCATAAGGCTTTGTACAACGGTTGAATCGACATTTTTTCTGCTTTTAACTATGATTTCAACATTTCCTGCTCCATAGTGACAGCTTTAGGTTGCTTCCGGAGTTCGTGCTTAATTATAGACCTGTATCTTTCGATCGGCAGCAACTCCGCTGTTTTTGGGGGATTGAGATCCTTCGGCACAAAATTGACCCCATTCGTCTTGTACCACTCCAGAACGTCCTTGGAGTAGTGACAAGAGGCCAAAAAATACTAGGAACGATCATGGTGGGGTTATACATGGTGATACAGCTTTGTCACTATATAGGCGAGGAGGTCGTGGGGGGGGGGGGGAAAAATGGCGGTTTTAGAGCAAATTGGGGTCGCTGTCCCATACAAAAATCCAACATGGCTGAATCATTCATGAACTTGACACATTAGAACACCTATATGCAGTCACCTTTGGAACGATGTGTGATTTGAGAAACGGAAGCAGTCATTTCTTCAGGCATTTACGGAAGTAGTTGTTACGAAAGGCTTGCTCCGTTTCCCACACAAAGAAATCTGCCAAATCATGAATTTCTTGGGGAACTTCGACACTTGCTGTATCCTGAGGGAATCTGAAACTCGTCTTTCGCAGTCACATACTGGTTTCGCGGAATTTGTTTGAAGTCCGCTTTTACGTATGCTTCATCGTCCATGAGACAACAGTGTGGTTTTGTCAACATTTGTGTGCAGTGATGCAAAATATCATGACACTCACGTGACACTCGTCTTCGCACCAGCCGACTATCGCTTACAGATCGTTTTGTCACGCAGTGAGAGTTAGAGCCATGGCAAACAACAATCACCAGTAATGGTTTCTGCTCAAAAGCAAAACGCTACACTCGCTGCTGATGATGAAAAGCACATCGAAAACAGTGATGACTTCTGCAGTACGATCATGAGAAAAAGCGAAACGACAGAAGAAAATGAAAACAATGCTTACGCATTCCAAGTTCGTCTCGGCAGGCACGACTGTGTGAGTTACAAACAAAGCAGGCAACATGAAACGGAAACTGTTGGGCTCACTCACCAACACACTTAAATAAGCAAACAAAGCAGCAACTGCTTCAAAACGAGCACAGACGAGTGTCATAATTGTCGGGAATGACCAGATCGATGATGGATCACAACAGAAGACGACATTCACCAGTTGCTTTTTACTTCTTTCGTCAACTTGATGG